ACACCGTTTTACAGGACACAAAATTCTACGTTGGTAACATATTTTTTTCTTGCTAAAATATTTTCCTCCATTCTCATGCTTTGTAGAATTCTGAGAAATCCTATGTAATGTTTTCCTTTATTCCTCTGTAGGTGAGGTATTGGTTTTCTTCTGGCCTATTTAAAGAGTTTTTCTTTGTTTTGATTATCTGAACTTTATGTAGATTTGAAGGCATTTATTTTAATGATGTATGAGCTTCATGGATATCTAACATAGTTTTGTGCATGGCACAAGTTTGGGGAAATGTTTAATCATTGTTGTTTCAAATGTTGCTTTTTTTCTTCTCTTTTGCCCCTTCCCATTATGTATGCTTACTCTTTCTCTAGTTGTACCAGGTTGTTGGATATACTATTTTTCTTTTAGTCATTTTCCTCCCTGCTTTTGTGATGGCCTGGATGTTTATATAGGCCAAAATCCATATGTAGAAAACAATTCACCGCTTAAGTAGTAGAGCTTTGTGGTGGTGTTTAGCATTTGTGCCCTTATGAAAGAGGCCTCGGAGAGATGCCTTGCACCTTTCTAGTATAAGAATACAAAGATAGCATTTATGAACCCAGAAATGGGCATTCACCATACACTGAAGAGCTGGTGCTTTCATCTTGGATGAAAGCTATTAAAACTATTCTAAAACTATTAAAAATGTTTCTGTTGAATAGCATTTGGTGTTTTTTTTTTTTATAACATCCTACATGGACTAAGGCATGTTTTCAGTTACAGCCTTTTACATTATTATATCCTCAGTATCTGAGATTCTTTCCTTAGCCATGTCCAGTCTACTAATGGCCTGCCATAGGTCTTCTGCCTGTTACAGTGCTTTTTGATGACTAATATTTCTTATTCTTCCTTAGAGTTTCCAACTCTCCTCATGCTATTCATCTTTTCTTCTGTGCTGCCTATTTACCTGAACATCCTTGCAATATCTAAGTCAGTTTTGGTGTGTCTTTGTGTTCTCAAACTGGTCTTTGAAATTTATTATTCCTTAAATTTTTTGTTAAATATCAGATACTACTATTCTGGGTATAATGAACACTAGCAAATGGGCCTTCATTTCTGTAAGAGGAGAAGAGGGAAAACATTTTCCAGTTCTATGATTAAGTTTTATTTATTTATTTTTTTTTTTGAGACAGAATCTTATAAAGCTTGCCTGTGGATCACCTCAGAGTTTTAATCTTCCTGCCTCTACCTTAATGGTTGTGGTGTTACAATTATATGTCACTGTACAGGGTTTCATGTGACACTGGGGTCAAACCCAGGCTTCTTGAATGCTAGGTAAGCACTCTACTGTCTGAAGTACTTCTCAGCCCTAAGTCTCAGACTTTTGATAATCCTGTGCCCATGAACAGTGAATTTCATTGGTGCTTCTCAGATTTGTTCCCAAGCCTTTAGCTGGAACAAGATGGCTGGAAGGACCTAGAACAGTGGTTCTTAGCCTTCCTAATGCTGCAAAACTTTACTACAGTACTTCATGTTGTAGTGAGCCCTGCCTATAAAATTATTTTCATTGCTACTTCATAAGTGTAATTTTACTACTGTTATGAATTGTAATATAAATATTTGATATGCAGAATATCTGATATGTACCCCAGAAGGGATTGCAACCCACAGGTTGAGAACCAGTTAATATCATCCCTTCTTCAGTTCATTTATGCATTTTTAAAACTCCAAAGGGTTCAGATAAAATAGTTTTCCTGGGGGCAGGTCTTGTTAAGAACAGAATGTTCTACCATTTCAAATGTCAAAACTGTTCCTTTCTCCCTATGAAGCAGAAAGAGATGTTTTTTCTCTGATATGCACTGTGAGGACCTAGTAGAGCTCCTGGAGGTGAAACCCATAAAAGTGTGCCCCTCCACTTTTGTTATTTTTAATTCACAGGCTTGTCCATACTGAGCCTCCAGTAATTTAGTTTGTTTCTCTACCCTAGCACTGGTTCCCATGAAGGTTTCTGCTCATTGCTTATTTGTTCTATAAGCTGTGGTTTCTTGCATTCAGTGTCACTATCTCTAGTTTAAGGAATTGTTTGCTGAATGACCTCAGTTCTCTGAAGACATTAAGAAGAGTTGTTGGGCCAGTTAATACCAGCACTCAAGAGTCAATGACAGGTCACTCTCTATGTTTTCAAACCCAGCCTAGTCTACACAGTAAGCTCCAGGCCAGCCACAGCTATGAAGAAAGATCCTGTATCAAACAAACAAGCATAAAAAGAGCTGTTTGTTTTCAGTTTGCTCTGGTTCTTACTCATTGGTAAGGTTAAGTGGAGATTTGTTCATATACAGAAAGTAGAAATGGTACCTTTTTTCATGCAGTTACTTTTCTTCTATAATATTAGTGAGTACTAGGTTTTTAAAAATCTTTTAACAAAATTATTGTGGAGATTGTTGTCTTTTAGGCAACAAGTCCTATACTTGATCATTATAGTGCTATTTTTTTCATATTATAAGTTTTTGTTTTTATTTTTTGTTTAAATTTATTATTTTACAATTTTTTTCACTTTGTATCCCATCTGTAACACTTTCCCTCATCTCCTTCCAGTACCACCCACCCTCCCTCTTCTCCTCTCATGCCCCTTCCCTAATCCACCCACCCACAGGGGAGGACCTTCTCCCATTCTATCTGACCCTAACCCATCAAGTCTCATCAGGGCTGGCTGCATCACCTCTTTGTTGCCTGGCAAGGCTATAACCCCCCAGGGGCAGGTTATAAAAGAGCTGGGCACTGAGGTCATACCAGAGACAGCCCCTGCCCTCCTAACTAGGGAACCCACTTGGAAACTGAGCAGCATATGATCTACCTCTGAACAGGGAGTCTAGATCCTTTCCATGCATGGTCCTTGGTTGGAATATCAATCACTACAGGCCTCCATGGACCCAGGTGGGTTCCTGTCCCCTCCAGGTCTATCTCCCTCTTCTTCCAAAAGGTTCCCTATACTCTGCCCAGAGATTGGCTATGAGTCACAGCATCTCCTTTAATACCCTGATGGGTAGAGTTTTTCAGAGGACCCTATGGACAGTTCTTGTCCTATTCCTCATCTTCTCCTACTGCTGATGTCTACCCTTTTTTGCCCTTGTAAGTGAAGTTTCAGCCTCTTCCCTAGGGTCATCCTTGTTGTTTGCCTTCTTTAGGAATATACATTTTAGTATGTTTATTCTATATTATGTGGCTAATATCCACTTACAAGTGAGTATACACCATAAGTGTCTTTCTGCTTCTGGGTTACCTCACTCAAGCGGGACTTTTCTACTTCACACCATTTGTCTGCAAATTTCATGATTTCCTTGTTTTTAATTGCTGAGTAGTATTCCATTGTGCAAACGTACCACAATTTCTGCATCCATTCTTCAGTTGAGGGACATAAATGTTGTTTCTAGAGTCTGGCTATTATGAATAACACTGTCATGAACATAGTTGAGCAAATGTCCTTATTGTATGGTTGAGCATCTTTTGGATATCTGCCCAGGAGCTATCTAGCTGGATCTTGAGGTAGCACTATTCCTAATTTTCTGAGAAACTACCAGATTGATTTCCGAAGTGGTTGTACAAGTTTACATTTCCACCAGCAATGGAGGAGGGTTCCCCTTTCTCCACAACCTCTCTATCATGCCTCAGACCTTGTGTTTTGTTTTGTTTTGTATTGTTTTGTTTTGTTTTTTATCTTAGCCATTCTGGTGGTTGTGAGGTGGAATCTCAGGCTCATTTTGATTTGCATTTCCTGAATGACTAAGGATGTTGAACATTTCTGTAAGTGTTTCTCTGCCATTCAATATTCCTTTATTGAAAATTCTCTGTTTAGCTCTGTACCCCATTTGTTAATTGGATTACTTGGTTTGTTGCTGTTTAACTTCTTGAGTTATTTATATATATATTCTGGACAGTAGCTGTCTATCAGGTGGGTCAATGGAATCGAAGAGAAGACCCAGAAATAAACCCACACACCTACTTGATCCCTTGGATTAGTGAATTCCTTGTATTAAATTAACTTAATCCCTTAATCCTTTGAACTAAGTAAATTTAATCCTAGGGTTAGTGAAGATCGTTTTCCAGGCTGTAGGATGTCATTTTGTTCTGATGACAGTGTCCTTTTCTTTGCTGAAGCATTCGGTTTCATGAGGTCACATTTATTGATTGTTGATCTTAGAGCCTGTTGTTGTTGGTGTTCTGTTCAAAAAATTGTCTTTTGTGCCAATGAGTTCAAGCCTCTTCCCCACTTTTTCTTCTAACAGGTTTATTGTGTCTGGTTTTACATTCAGGTCTTTGATCTATGGATTTTGGTTTTGTGCAGGGTGATAAGTATGGATCTATTTGTATTTTCTACATGTAGACATCCAGTTGGACCAGCACCATTTGTTGAAGATGCTATCTTTTTTTCCATTGTATGGTTTTGGCATCTTTGTCAAAGATCAGGTTTCCATAAGTTTGTGGGTTTATTTCTGGGTCTTCTACCCAATTCCATTGATCCACCATTCTGTTTCTATGCCAGTACCATGCAGGTTTTATTGCTGTTTCTTTGTAATACAACTTAAGATCAGAGATGGAGATACCTCCAGAAGACCTTTTACTGTACAGGATTATTTTAGCTATTCTGTTTTTTGTTTTGTTTTGTTTTTGTTCATCCACATGAAATTGAGAATTGTTCTTTCAAGGTCTGTAAAAAATGTGTTGATATTTTGATGGAAATTTCTCCATTTCAAATGAAAATAATTAAATGATGCTTTCATATAATTAGATCTAGTATGGAGAATATGAACCACAATGAAGACATTTATATATCTAGTGGAATCCTATTTCAGTTTTGAAAGCAATCCTTTCTGCTTTTGTGTCCATTTTTTACTACTGTGGACAACTAAAATTCCTTACCAAGCAGCTTTTCTACATATTACTTTAAATATCAAGTTTTCATAGCACTCAGGTATACCAAAAGACATCTAGACATAAGGTTTAACATTTTCCATCTTCCATTGACTTAGCCTTAGTGTCACAAGCAGAAGCTCTGAAGGAGGAAAATGATAGCCTCCGCTGGCAGCTAGATGCCTACCGGAATGAGGTAGAACTACTCAAGCAAGAACAAGGCAAAGCCCTCCGGGAGGATGACCCAAACAAGGAACAGCAGCTGAAACTTCTGCAGCAAGCCCTCCAGGGGATGCAACAGGTATGGTCAGCTTGTTTTCCTGCCCTGTCTGGAAGAATAGCATCAACTCTTTGTTTGCAAACAAGTGTGCTGAAGCCAAAAGATCAAAAGTTACTCCAGGATATAGATAATGTTAGAAGTCTTTATAAAAAGCCTCAGTTACTTACATATGATAAAATGATGAAGAATATGTATATGCTTGGTTAAAACAACAGAATACAGTCTTAGAAAAAATAACAAAACATCTCATCTTGATTATCATGGAATGGGGAACTTGTAGTAAATATCAGTGCTTTAAGATTATAATACCAGTTTGGTTTTTATTTAATTTTCACAGTAATTTATGTGAATTTACAAGCACATAATTCCAAGTATAAAAATTAAATTAAAGGGCTGGGGACATGACTCCATGATTACAAGAGCACTTGCTGCTCTTTCAGAGGATTGGTATTTGGTTCCTGGCAGACATGGTAGACAACTAACAACTACCTATACCTCTAGCTTCGTGGGATCTGATGACCTCTTTTGGCCTCCATTGGTGCTTACTTGTGTGCATGGATGCACATGTGCACACACACAGACACATGTAATAAAAATAAAATGAGCACTAAAGATTCATTTGAATCAAAGGAAATAATTAAATCCAGCCGAAATTGCATTCAGTTAACCTCGTGAATAATAACACGTGGCCAATAGTTCAACATTTGATGTGGCCATCACCACAGTGAGCCTCGAGTTTAAAAGCTGTGAACACCCTCTTTCACTATAGTGAAAGAATAGTAGTACTTCTGAGAAAGGACTTGATCATATTCTGTCATGACAGTCTACCTGCCATCTGCCTTACATTTTAAATCATGCAATACATTTCAAGTCTGTGCCTTGAAATTATCTAGGACAAAGTAATTGCTGGTTGGAAATTATAAATGATGAACAGGGAGTCTGTTCTGGCACTAGCATCCCTGTGTTATTACTTCTGCCACCATTGTCTTCCTGTTTGATGAGTAATATCACATTAATATTTCAACTCCCATTAGCAAAATGTGTGAAGTAATGCTTACCTTCCTTTTATTGTCACCACAGAGTTTAATTATAATACATAAATTATATCAGAGATCTATCTACCAAAAAAGTGTCCCTGTAGCTAGCCTTCAAAAGGCTTTTATAGCATACATTGTATCTTGGTTTTGGCTGTTGGTCTTTTGCAATCTTAAAGTAAGAACTTGGGAACACTTTTATCATTGTTTCTCTCTTCTTATGTTGCTTTTAAAAGCATTATACATAAAACTGTTTTGTCACTTACATGCAAAGATCTCAGCAAGAGGTCTTTGCCTCCTAAAAATTAATTTCATTCATTCTGATTTTTTCCTCCATTGGGAAAATAGTACCATAAAAAATGAACAACATTTTTCCATTTTCACTCCAAAGATGTATAGTAAATTTGTATTTAGGCAAAGGAATTCCAGGGTTAGCTGGCCTGGCTTTAAATCTAATTTGGCTACTTTCTATCTGAATCAATGAACATGAAATCCCTTAGCAAAGTACTTAGTAAAAAATGGGAATTCAGTAAGTAGTAGTCATTTGCCATTACTGATAACATAAATCCCATCCCTTGCTTTTAACATAAAAACTAACATTTGAAATTTGGATCCATGACTATCTTCCTGTACAAATCAAACTTGGTGAGCCAGAGGAGTGCACAAAAATGTTTTTCAACATTAAGTTCATGTCTCTGCAATAATCAAGATGTAGTTTTTACAGTATTGGTTTCATACCTGTGGCCAGGACAGAGAAGAAGCTAAGTGACTGTGTTTATTAGTTTCTCTGGTTCTTTATAAAATATAAAACTGGAAAAGCTCATCCTGAGTGAGGTATCCCAGAAGCAGAAAGACACACAGGGTATATATACTCATTCATAAGTAGATATTAGACATATAATATAGGATGAACATACTAAAATCTGTATACCTAAGGAAGCTAATCAAGAAGGAAGAGTCTGGATAAGTTACTTAATCCCCATTCAGAAAGACAAAGAGGATGGACATCAGAGGAGGGAAAAAACAGGGAACAGGACAGGAGCCTACCACAATGGGACTCTGAACGATTCTATCCAGTTTTATCCAGCAGGGTAGCAAGCAGATGCTGAGACTCAGCCAAACTTTGGGGAGAGTGCAGGTAATTTTATAAAAGAAGGGGGAGATAGTAAGACCTGGAGAGTACAGGAGCTCCACAAGGAGAGCAACAGATCCAAAAAATCTTGACACAAGGGCCTTTTTTGACACTGATACTCCAGCCAAGGACCACTCATGGAGATGGCCTGGAACCACTGCACAGAGGTACCCCATGGCTGTTCAGTGTCCAAGTGGGTTCATAGCAATAGGGTCAGGGACTGTCTCTGTCAGGAACTGATTGGCCTGCTCTTTGATCACCTCCCCCTAAAGGGGGAGCAGCCTTACCAGGCCAGAGAGAAAGACAGTGCAGCTACTCCTGATAAGACCTGATAGACTAGGATCAGAGGGAAGAGGAGGAAGACTGGGGAAGGGGCACAGGTGGAGAAGAGGGAGGGGAGGAAGGAGGGAGCTACAGGGGGATACAAAGTGAATAAACTGTAATTAATAAAAATAAAAATAATTTTTAAAAAAGAAAAAAATAAATAAACTGGTTTGGAAGAAATACTAAGAACCAAATTTTAAAGAGTGAAAAGTTTATTTTCTAAGATAATTTTTCTCTGTGTGAAAAAGATACTATTTGTGGAGGGTTAATTGAGGCTAGTTCACCTGATAACTAATCTCGGCCAGAGATTATGCATGAAGTGAAGCCTAAATGAGTGATGTAATTATTTGTGATCTCTCCTGAAGCATCTGCTCAAAGTCCAAGAAGAATACAAAAAGAAAGAAGCTGAACTTGACAAAATCAAAGATGACAAATTACAGGTGGAAAAAATGTTGGAAAATCTTCAAGAAAAGGTACATGAATCCTACATCAATCTTTTTCTTTTACCCTTTCCCCCTTTCAGTGACCATAAAAACATCTTAGAAGTGTCAGCATCAGAAATCAATATGAAATACCGCTGGGTAGGAATTAAAAGTCCCTATCTGGGTCAGGCATAGTAGTGCACATCTGTAAGCCCACAATTTGTGAGGTAGAGGCAGGTGGATCTCTGTTAGTTCAAAGCCAGCCTGGTCTACAAAGCAAGTTTCAGGACACACAAATCCTTTTTCGAAAAACCCTGTCTCAAAATCCAACCAAACAAAAAAGTCATTTTCTGCAGTAATTCTGCTTTTAAGTATGTGTACTTAGCATTTCTAAAGGTTCTGGTTTATATACTTTTCAGTGAACAAAAAGTCATTCCAACTACCATTTTTCCCTATTATGGCCGTTGAAGAAGATCATACTGCATAGTTCCTCCGTGTTTTCATCATCTCCTCACACCAGTAACAACATAAAAAGCCTGTGTGTTCTGGTTTGCTTCCCATTGCTGTGATAAACACTGTGACCAAAAGCAACTTGGAGAAGGGTTTATTTTCCTTTACAGCTTCAAATCCATTATGGAGGTCAGTCAAGGCAGGAAATCTAGACAGGAACCTAGAGTTAGGAACTGTAGCAGAGACCATGAAAAAAATGTTACTTACTGGTTAGCTTTCTCTCCATGGCTCGCTCAATTTGCTTTTTATACAATGTCAGGACCATCTTCCCAAAAGTGGTACCACCAACAGTAGGCTGAGCCCTGTCCCATAAATCATTAATGAGGAAACAATCTGATAGTCCATTCCTCATTTGAAGTTCCATCTTTCCAGTTGAGCATACCATTTACTGAACATTTCATTAATGCAGAAATGCAGCTAAAACATTGACAGCTCTTTATACCCATTCTGTCTACATGATCATGAGCAGCCATAGGTTAGAGTAACAATCAACACCAAGTCAGGCATCTGAATCCTAAGCCTTAGGAAAAAAGGCAGGAGAATCAGGAGTTCAATGTCACTCTCAGTTACATAGCAAGTCAGGAGCCAGCCTAAGTTTGAGACCCTGTCTCAAAACAAACAAACAAAAAATAACCAACACCAAAATGTAGAGAAACAAGGACACAGATTTTTTTAAAACCAGATAATAGCAACAAAGAAGGGAAGGTGACACTAAATCAAGTGAGAGCCTGAAAAAAAAAAAAAAAGACACATTGAAAACAACTAGGAGAATTGTTTGGTTGTTGTTTTTTGTTTGTTTTTAATATTTGGATGGGTCTGTGGATCACAACCAAGATGTGTCTCTTTTTGATGTGTAAACTCTCCTGATGTCTATGTGTCATACCCTCCAGTCTCATATGCCTCAGTATTCAGCTGAAGATGTGCTCTGGGGGGAAAAAATGACTCCTTAACCAGAACTCCCTGCTGTGAATATTTGAGAAGGAAGAGGAAATGTAGAATCTTGGACCAAAAGTCCAACAACAGCAATGGTACACTTCTGCAAGAACTGCTATTGTTGATCTTCCTTGCTTGGCTTAGGAAGACCAAACACATACAGGCCATGAATGTATTTACTAGCATGGGGTTGTGCCCGAGAGAGCCAGTAGGAACTGGCAACCTTGGTATAGTTGAAACAAATGATTGAAAATGTTTTCTTTCAGAGGCCATTTGCAATATGCTTTTAATCCTTCCACATCATAAAATCAACTCACTTTCCACTTTTATGGGTGCTATTAAAGAAACGAGCACAGTCCCAGAGAAATTCATTTATCAAGCATTCAATTGAAAAGTGCCAAATCTGCTGTGCCATCAGGACTTTCCTCATGCTATCAGACTTTCTAAATTGTCCCAGAGCTGTAACGTAGCTCTATTCCTCTTCCTGTATAAAATGCACCATGTAACCAACAGACCCTAGATAGACAAGGGGCTGCCCTGCTGATAGCACACTTATCATCACTCTTTAGATTGCCATTACAAATTGACTTAAGTACATTTTTGGTAAAGGCTGCTTTCTGCTTTGTGCAGAATTTTGTTTCAAGAAACAAGCGGTCAAATGGCACAGAAGAAACTTATATTGTGCTTAATGACAAGTGTTTCTCATCTGAGATGAAATATACCTCAAAATGACAGCTGAAGAGGACAAGAGATAACCAACTTGTAATCATAAAACAGTGAAGCAGATTTTTTTTTTTCTGTTACTTTAGGCAAACTTCTTTTAGAAGAATTCATGACAGATCGTTACAAATTGTTTTTCTCTGTGAAGCTAATTTGTGACCAGCTATTTCAACCTGACACAATTAGGTTAGGAAGCAAAAGATCATCAGACTACATTAAACTAGGAAAATAATTTCAGGTTGAAAGGCAAGCAGCAAGCTTTGGTTTATTTTTTATTTTGTTTGGGTTTCTTGACAGTAAGCCACAGTATGAGCTATTGGCCATGTTTTACAATGCAACAGTGTCACTTATGTCTATCTTCTGTTAAAAAAAAAAATCTACCTCCTTGAATCTGCTAATGAAGTTCAAGGAAATAAACATCTTCTAATCTTGCTTCTAATTTGTTTAATGCCAACCATGATAAATGTGAAATCTGGTTCAGTTGAGCCAGTTTCATTTAAGATATCTAAGACTTTTCAGAAAATTTGAATATCTTAAATCAAACTCAGCCTGTTAAGGGCCCACATTTAAATGGCTTACTGGGTCACTTAAGGTTGTAAAGGAGTTAAGGCAAATGCAGAACCCCTGCCTTAGAAATTATCACATGGTAGCTCAGTATCCAAGTGGGTCCCTAGTTAGGGGAACAGGGACTATTTCTGACATGAACTCAATGGCTGGCTCTTTGACCTCCTCCCACCCTGAGGGAGGAGCAGCCTTGCTAGGCCACAGAGGAGGAGGTTGCACCCAGTCCTGAGGAGCCCTGATAAGCTAGGGTCAGATGGAAAGGTAGGAGGACCTCCCCTATCAGTGGACTTGGAAAGGGGCAGGGAAGAGATGAGGGAGGGGGCTATGGCTGGGATACAAAGTAAACAACCTGTGATTAATATAAAAAATATTTTAAAAAATGATACAGGACTTTTTTGTATTTTTTGTTTATTTAGTTTTATTATTAATTATAGTTTATTAACTTTGTATTCCAGCTGTAGCCCCCTCCCTGATCCTCTCCCATGCCACACCCGAAGTCCACTGATAGGAGAGGTCCTCCTCTCCTTCCATCTGATGATAGCCTATCAGGTCTTATCAGTATTGGCTGTAATGTCTTCCTTTGTGGCCTGATAAGGCTGCTACCCCCTCAGCAGGAGGTGATCAAAAAGCCAGCCCTTGAGTTCATGTCAGAAACAGTCCCTGTTCCCATTACTAGAAAACCCACTTGGACACTGAGCTGACATAGTCTACATCTGTGCATGGGTTCTAAGTTATATCCATGAATCATCCTTAGTTGGAGTATCAATCTGAGAAAAGACTCCTGTGCCCAGATTTTTTGGTTCTATTGCTCTTCTTTTGGAGCTCCTGTCCCCTCCAGGGCTTTCTATCTCCCCCTTCTTTTGTAAGATTCCCTGTACTCTGCCCAAAGTTTGGCTATGAGTCTCAGCATCTGCTTTGCTACCCTGCTGGATATAACTGGATAGAATTGTTCAGAGTCCCACTGTGGTAGGCTCCTGTCCTGTTCCCTGTTTTCTCCCTCTTCAGATATCTGTCCCGTCTGCCTTTCTGAGTGAGGATTGATCATCTTACACAGGGTCCTCCTTCTTGCTTAGCTTCTTTAGGCATACAGATTTTAGTATATTTATCCTATATTATATGTCTAATATCCACTTATCAGATGTGACATAAAGCAACATGTCTTGTAGCATACATACAACAATCATTTCATTCTAAACTGGTATCTGGGTAGCTTTGAAGACACCTTTCAAGAACACAGAAATGTAGCCCCTGCTGAGAACTTTGGGAAGGGAAGAAGTGACAGAGTATCTGAATCATGGTCTGCTGTCACTCCCTGCCCAGCATTCCCCCAGGGTGTTCTTTTATAATAGTAAAAGACTAAAACAGTGAGATTGAAGCAAGAATTTTTTTTTATTTCTTCCAGTGTAAGCTCTTACTTCATCTCTACAATATAGAAAGATATTTTCCCCCACACTTGAAGTCAGAAAGATTCACAAACAGTAGAGAAATACTTTTCAAATTCAGTGCCTGCCAGGTAGGGATTTCATCCGACTATCTCATAAAACCAAACTGATGCACTCAGAAAAATCTCTACAACATAGAAAGCAACTGACAATTATAGTCAGAAATATTTTAACTGAACTTTAACTTAACTATAGAAGAGAAACATAATCTCTAGTCTATAGAGAAAGGTTCTAATTTCTATTTTTTTTTTGCATTTCTAGCTGGGTGGCTGCCCTTTAAAAGAACAAGGGACCCCCAACTCCGGGGGAACAGGGTTTTTTTTGTTTTTGTTTTTGTTTTTTTTTAGTTTTCTCATTTCTTTTTTTTTAATTTTTTATTAATTACACTTTATTCATTTTGTATCCCCCCATAAGCCCCTCCCTCCTCCCTTCCCGATCCCACCCTCCCTCCCTTTTCTGCATGCATGCCACTCCCCAAGTCCACTGATAGGGGAGGTTCTCCTCTCCTTTCTGATCTTAGTCTATCAGTTCTCATCAAAAGTGGCTGCATTGTCCTCTACTGTGGCCTGGTAAGGCTGCTCCCCCATCAGGGGGAAGTGATCAACGAGCAGGCCAATCAGATTATGTCAGAGGCAGTCCCTCTTCCTATTATTATGTAACCCACTTGGACACTGAACTGCCATGGGCTACATCTGTGCAGGAGTTCTAGGTTATCTCCATGAATAGTCCTTGGTTGGAGTATGAGTCTCTGGGAAGTTCCCTGTGTTCAAATTATCTTGTTCTGTTGCTCTGCTTGTGGAGTTCCCATCCCCTCCAGCTTTTATTAATTTCTAGTTCACAAGCCAGGATTGATACCTTAGTAGAATGGCTATATCACATATTCTCTATTCAGATTCTGGACTTGCCATGAGCAAAATAAGAACCTAACATTGAAAGAGAGAGAGAGAGAGAGAGAGAGAGAGAGAGAGAGAAGAGAATAATAATGAATATAGCCTGAGAGGAAATGCTAACTCTCCTATTTCCATTTCCTAACAATGAAATTCTAACAAACACATCCAATTTATCTTTTCCTTGCTTTCCTCATCTGTATGATGCTGATAATATATGTATTATACATACTTAGTATGTATTATACCTAGTATAATACATGTATTATACATACCTAGTATGTAATAAACAATAGCATTGATTTTTACTTCCCAAGATTACTTATATAGAGCTAAGAATGATGAAGCCAGAAAAACACAGTTGGTGACAATAAAGGTATCCGTCTGCATTTTGAAGCCATATAAAGATGCTTTGGAACCAGTGAGATGGCTTAGCTGGTAGTTTTACTTGCTGTGAAGCTTGAAGATGTAAGTTCAGTTCCCAGGATCTACATGGTAGGAGAGAACCAACAACAACAAGCTGTCATTTGACCTCCACAAGTGTACCATAGTGTGTACCATGGCACACAAACACAAACACACAAAATAAATGTGATTAAAGGGTAGTTTGGATTATCTATGGTGTCTTAATTTATATTTTCAGTAATCCAAACTCGACGGTGTTGTTTTGATGGTACTATGTTGCTTTTGTGGACCTTTTTGCTGGGCACAGAGACATGCATCTGTCATCCTAGCTGAGCAGAAAGCTGAGATGGAAGGATCACTTGTGTTTCAGAATTTGAGAACAGACTGGGCAATATAGTGGGAATTTACCTTTCATTTTTTAATAAAAGTTATCTATTATATAATTAATTGAAACCAACTCTTTGGCTAAATAAGGTGAACTGACCCAGGGAGCATGTTATTCCTACAGGAAAACTGTGCTTCTAGACTGTGTGCATCAAGCCAGGAAAGTGACTACCCTCTTGAGAAGACCATGACCAGCAGTCCAATCAAGTCTGAACGTGAAGCACTGCTAGTGGGTAAGAAAACCAAAACACAAATCCTGTCAGGTACAAAGAAAGACAAGATGGAAGTGTCTGCCAAGATGGTATTAAGTACGGCAGTGCAATAACTCAGAGTTCTAAAGATGATAGAGAAATATCAAGGAAATTTTCCATTAAAAATTCTAAGAAAAACCTCAAACCATTTCTGATTCTTCATTGCCAATGTCATGTCAACTTTTAACATTTCTTAAATTCATTTATTTTTTTTTATTAATTACAGTTTACTCACTTTGTATCCCAGCTGTAGCCCCCTTCCTCTTTCCCTCCCAAACTCACCCTCCATCCTTCACCTTCTCCCATGCCCCTCCCCTAGTCCATGGATAGGATGGGTCCTCGTTCCCTTCCATCTGACCCTTTTCTATCATGTTTCATCTGGACTGGCTGCATTGTCCTCCTCTGTGGCCTGGTAAAGCTGCTCCCCAACAAGAGGAGCTAAACAAAGAGCCAACCACTGAGTTCATGTCAAAGACAGTCCCTGTTCCCATTACTAGGGAAAGAACATGGACACTGAGCTGCTATGGGCTACAACTGTGTAGGGTTTCTAGGTTAACTCCATCAGTCTCTTCTGAGACTGATACTCCAACCAAGGAGTTGGAGTATCAGTCTCAGAAGAGACTCCTGTGGCCAGATATTTTTGTTGCTATCCTTGTGGAGTTCCTGTCCTCTCCAGGGCTTTCTATCTCTCCTTTCTTTCATAAGAGTCCCTGCACTCTGCCCAAAGTTTGGCTATGAGTCTCAGCATCTGCTTTGATACCCTGCAGGGTAGAGTCTTTCAGAGGCCCTGTGTGGTAGGTTCCTGTCCTGTTCCCTGTTTTCTCCCTCTTCCTATATACATACTGTTTGCCTTTCTGAATGAAGATTGAGCATTTTACCCTTAATCCTCCTTCTGGATTAGCTTCTTTAGGTGTTCAGATTTTAGTATGATTATCCTATATTATATGTCTAATATCCACTTATAAGTGAGTATATGCCATGTGTGTCGTTCTGCTTCTGGGATACCTCACTCAGAATGATCTTTTCTAGTTCCTACCATTTGCCTGCAAATTTCATGATTTCCTTGTTTTTAATTGCTGAGTACATTGTGTAAAGGTACCACAATTTCCGTATCCATTCCTCAATTTAGGGACATCTGTGTTGCTTCTAGCTTCTGGCTATTACAAATAAAGCTGCTACAAACATGGTTGAACAAGACTTGTATAAAAAAAAAATTCCAGTCTCTGAAGAAAGAAATAGAAGAAGTTATCAAAAGATGAAAATATCTCCCGTGCTCATGGCTTGGCAGGATTAACACAGTAAAAATGGCCATTTTACCAAAAGCAATCTACAGATTCAATGCAATTCCCATCAAATTACCAACACAATTCTTTACAGACCTTGAAAGAAAAATTCTCAACTTCATATCGAATAATAAGAAACCCAGAATCGCTAAAACAATCCTCTACAATATAAGATCTTCTGGAGGTATCTCCAATCCTAATCTCAAGCTGTACTATAGAGCAACAGTAATAAAAACTGCATGGTACTGGCATTGAAACTGGCTGGTGGATCAATGGACTCGGATAGAAGACCCAGAAATAAACCCACACACTTATGGACACCTGATTTTTTACAAAGATGCCAAAACCATACAATGGAAGAAAAAAAGATAGCGTCTTCAACAAATGGTGCTGGTCTAACTGGATGTCTACATGTAGAAAAATGCAAATCTACCCATACACACCCTGCACAAAACTGAAGTCCAAGTGGATCAAAGACCTCAATATAAAACCAGACACACTAAACCTGTTAGAAGAAAAAGAGGGTAAGAGCCTTGACCTCATTTGAACAGGAGACAATTTCCTAAACTGAACACCAGCAGCACAGGTTCTAAGATCAACAATCAATAAATGGGACCTCATGAAACTGAAAAGCTTCTGAAAAGCAAAGAACACTGTTATCAGAAAAGGACAGTTTACAGACTGGGAAAGGATCTTCACCAACCCGTTATGTGACAGAGGGCTAATATCCAGAATATATAAAGAACTCAAGAAGTTAAACAGCAACAAATGAAGTAACCCAATTAAAAAAAGGAGCAGAGAGCTAAACAGAAAATTCTCAATAGAGGAATATCAACTGACAGAGAAACACTTAAAGAAATGTTCAGTGTCCTCAGTCATAAGGGAAATGCAAATCAAAACAACCCTGAAGGTTCACCTTACACCCATTAGAATGGCTAAGATCAAAATGTTAAGTGACAACACATGCTGGAGAGGATGTGGAGAAAGGGGACCTCTCCTCCATTGCTGGTGGGAATGTAAACTTGTACAACCACTTTGGAAGTCAAACTTTCTCAGACAATTAGGAATAGTGCTACCTGAAGATCCAGCTATACCACTTCTAAGCATATATCCAAAAGATGCTCAAGTATACAACTTTCAACATTTTTCTACCCAAAAGTTTTTTTTTTCTTTAACAAATTTGTCATGGTGACAGAGAAGTATTGGGGAGAAAGTGACATCTCTGTGAATGGATAGCTCTAAACAAATAATAAAAGATCCTCAAATGACTACCTCTTTTTCTACCTTTTAAAAGACTGTAGTCTTTATATGGTGGAGAAATCTACCTTTTAAAATAAGTTCTTTGAGTGTGAACTCCCAAAAACTGATGAGTGTTTTTCTACCTCTGAAAACTTATTTCTTAGCTTTTGATACTTTTCGTTAGCTATGACATTTAGACTTTCTTTGAATATGGACTTTTTTCTTCAGAACTAAAATTTTTCAACTCAAATCAGAGCTTAGAAATTCAATTTACCTGGTCATTTAAAAATAAAGTAATAATAAATGTAATATTATCCCTTTTGAACAGATTTTATGACTCAACCTCGGTTCCTTCTACATTCATCCAGCCTACCCTTTGACATCTAATATTTGGAAGGTTTTCATAACAAATAATTGAATTTCAATCTATAATTTAAACTTGTGCTACTTTTTTCAGCCTCTTAAAGGGCAGAAAAATTGTACTTTCTAAACCATATCGTATGCCCACTTGTATTTTCTGGTAGTTTTCAGGAAGCTCAGTTTTAGAAGATCTGATAAAAAGAAATAAATTCACAATCGTTTAAAAACAAAAGTGTGTAATTTTTTAACAATTTTCAGTTGTTGTCAAGTTAAGTATTAGAACAATTAACATGACATCCATAAAATCAAGAGAGTGGTTGAAGGTGCTCCTGACCTCAGAATTAGGTTGAGTGGAAATCTCCCACGCATTCCTGGAAGCTGGAAATTGCTGTACAAACTCTATTACAAGAACACATTTGGAACTCTCAAGACACAATTGCAGTGATCACTCATGTCAGCATGAAAATTTCAAAATATTTGGCTTTTCTGTATAGATCACTCACAAAATAAAACCCCAATACAATACAAATGGCTTTCTAATGCTGTGACCCTTTAAAGCACTTTCTCATGTTAAGGTGAACCCAACCATAAAATTATTTCATTGCTACTTCATAACTGTGATTTTGCTACTGCAATGAATCATAATATAAATGTCTGATATGCAGGAAACCTGATATGCAACCCTGCAAAAGTGTTGTTTGACTCCCCAAAAGGGTTGCAACCTACAAGTTGAGAGCCACCAAGCTAGGTTAATAAGGCAAAGTATGTGATGTGTGTTTCTCACAAGATATTCTTAATTCCTAATAGCATGAATCCTAATGTAATGACTGCCAAAACACCCATAATAATCTACATTCATGTTAAAATTCTAGAATTCAAATTGTTCTCAGTAATGACAAATGATGGGAATGACCTCACATGCTAGCATCATTATGTGTGACATAGCACAGTAAAAGACAATGAGTTGTAAGAGCCATGAATTTTACAGACCTGCTCTACCACTTGTCAGTGTATGCTGAAACTTTGTATGTCTTGGTGTTTTCATCTGTGAAATGGGGATTGACTGCACCTATGCCATGGAGCTGTTATGAAGATTAAGTGAATAAAATATATACAAACTTAAAATACTGACCAGTTTATGAATAATGTGCATATGTACATTCTGTGTATATTAGTTCATTCACTGTCTTTAGAATCTCAAGAGATTTCATGATGAAATGTAACCTCTGGGGCATTATCTCCACAGGGATCATCTCCACATTCCTTCATGTTCACCCATTTGGAGCAAGTATTGAATATATCTGTTCCTACTTGCACCGTCTTGATAATAAGGTACGTGGCAGAACTCAAATGGCAATGAGAAGGATGAAGCATTCTTTTCTATATAGGTGACCTTACCCTCTTCATGTATAAGCAGGCCATATTACTTATGGGTCTAAACAAGTTTTCCTTAGTTCCAGTCTCATTATGATTCAATCTATGACCACCCTCTTAGAAATAGTATGACTTTCTGTCCTAGTTTGCCTAAAACTGAACAGTTTACTGAGATTTGAGATTTTTGTGCTAAAACTGAGGAAATCCCATGAAAACTAGAATTGGCTAGCCTACTTCTAACATATCTTAGAGGTTTCACACTTCCTTTTCTTGATTTCCATACAAGCTACTAAGTAGCCAGCAAGTTAACCCCTACTCGTCCTCTTACATTTGTCTTAGGCCTCTAGCCATCAGTAAATTTTTATTTATAAAATTGGAAGCCCCTCCCACCATCACTAATGTCATTATCTGCTCTGAAAAGAGTCAAAGAAGGTACAGAAATAATGGTGCAATATGCTGAAGGCTTCTGGAATGCAGACTGAGTGGCTACTCATAGCTGATCTGTGGGCCATTTATCTGCATGTTATCCTCAAGGGAAGAGCTTGAAGATCACATGAAGTAAGAGGAAGTGTTAATTCCCTAGAAAATCAAGGGTGCTTCATAGCAGCAGGGGCAGGCTCTTGATTCCTTCTCAGAACAAATAAGCTCATGATACATTTTGTTTTGTTTTTCAGGAAAAAAAAAACAAGAAACAGATAAGCTTTCCTGTAGATTGTGTCACTATTATTTCACCAAACTGGGCCTCCTAGAAAGTGTCATTGAGTGTGGATATCTGACATTATGTTGTCCAAAATGTTAAATCAATGAAGCCTTTGTCTTCTTAGCAAAGCACTGGCCATTTGGGAACCTGATTGCTCTAAGTGTATTTTAATATCAGTGGTACAATTTCCTCAATGGCCTTTGTGTTAGTTCTTGCTTCCATTGCCTCCTTATTTCCCTCTAGGAAGTAATTCTGTTCTGCCTCCTTATACCCCATTTGGCAGTTAAAGGAAAGATGGAATGGTAGTATCAGGAGCATATGTTCAGTTACAGTTCAGGATATTGAACTATATGTCAGTAAAACATCTCAGTTTCTTTTTAATTCTTGAACATAGTAAACATCTTTGCAAACAACATAGAAATATAATGAAGAAAAAGTGAAAGTTAGTCTCCGCTCAAGGATAACCACTGTTAACAGCTTACTCTGTAATTTCAAACTTTTTTCCAAATCTACACTGTGTCTTATCTGTATGTTTATAGCTGTTTCCATTCTCTATTCACACTTTTTAAAACAGGAGCTCTACTCTTTGTAGCAACCTACAGTGTGTTTCTTTCACTTAAGTAAATCTGATTTACTGTGAGCATTGGAAGGAGGGCACAACTTCACTTCTAGCCTGGCCCAGCTCTCTGCTAGCAGCTTCTTGCCAGAATAATGTCAATACCTCCCAGCAAGGGCTTTAAAGGGTACCTAAATTCTGTGTGGCAGTAACTCCAGGCTTTTTTAAGGTTTCCCCTGGGGATCATCAGCCAAGCTCTGTGGCCAGGTCCACAATTAAGAAGGGAACTTTGAATGAAAATAAATGACTATAAGAAAGAAAAGTTCTTGAGAAGTCTACAGACTTGCTTTTGTATGGGAGGGCAAGTGTGTGTATATGGTAGGGGAAAGAAAGACATGGCACTTCAAAGTAGGAAGAGAGACCATTCTTAACTGCCATTACTTTTTCTTTGTGGGCTGATGCTTCTACTCCATTGTCCCCTACCAAACGACATTTTGCCTCAGTAGGTCTAGATATAGCATCTCCAACAATGAGCTGCCCTCAGTTGGCTACATGCCCAAACTTCTCTATATAACTGACAGCAACTGGCAAAAGCAGTTCAGTGGACTGTGTCCAAAGCCATCGCAATGAACACTGGTGTCCAAAATCTACTCCAACAACACACACAAATGCACAATGCCAGGTAGGAAATATCCATCACCCTCAGCATGCACACAGCAGCAGGTGACCAAGGATGGAAAACTGATTTTGATTGGATGATGTCCTCTGTGTCCCACAGATCTGTACCAGTGATGTGGAATGTCTCATGAGTAGACTCCAGCATACCTTCAGACAGGAAATGACTGGAGTTGGAGCCAGCCTAGAGAAGAGGTGGAAATTCTGTGGCTTTGAGGGCTTGAAGCTGACCTGAATCTCTTTGTCTAACAATTTGGTATCCTGAAAATAAATGTATGCTGGACAAGCTTAGGACATAATTTTTTTTTTAAATTCTCAGTGGTTTTCAAGTGGACATTGCTTTCAATATGTCAATTCATTCCTAAATATCTTTAAAGTTAAAATAAGGATCCTAAAACCGCACTTCAAGCTACAGATCCTAAAAAGAAATTGCCTTGAACCTCAAGTGCTGTAACTTCCTCCTATTTATGGCAATTGGTTGATGTTTCTTATAAGTAGCCTTGAAAAATTCCTGAAGCTAAAGAGTATTTGGAGTGTTTTCAGTATCTGTACTACTGTTGTAGGCATTGTATTTTTCAACACTGTTAACTGAAATGTTTTGATGATTTGTACGTGCTTTGTGTCTCCAGATTTCTCCTCACATGTTGCAACTGGTAAAAGGAATGAAAAGAGCACTAGGAATGCTCTGTAACTGCCATTGTCTTTCCAATTCATGGTAAACACTAAATGAATAATCCATCAGTGTCTTCTACAAGGTGCTTCACCAGTTCACCTTTCAAATACAAAAGCATGAACTGTGGCTTTTTGTAAAAATACTCTGAACCAAAAGTTGACAAATGTTCCAAAGTTATTTTCTCTAATAGAGAAAAGGCCTATTTCAGAATTTTAAAACAAGAAATCTAGATGGATTCACAGACAGTCTCCAGTTTGACTATCATGTTTATGGTTTTCAGAACTACTTGTAAATAGTCTTCCTTTAAAAGAGGGCATATTTAATTTTGTAGGAATTAAAATGCAGTCAGGCATGGGCACATGTGCACACACATACTAGCAGAAAGGATTTATTTTAATAGTCGTTCCCCTCTGGCCTTCTTACATTCTGTTGCTCCCTTTTTCCTGCTGTTAGTTGTTTAATTGCAAACTGTGTATTGCTGTAAATACTGTTTACCTTATGCTGAATGTTTGTAAAGAACTGATGTGAGTACTGAAAGTAATGAACTAATGAATAAAAAATGGGCCAGGGCATGAGGCATCCTGCACTTATGTCAGCTCTATGCAGAATGCTGATGCCTCTGCTTCAGCCATGCCCATCTGTATGTTGCAATGGCCTCGTCAAGTGTAAGTGGACCATTCAGGAAGTCCTGCCTCATAGAAAAAGAAAAGAAAGGGTAGAATTAGAGGGTATTCCCCAGAGGTAGAGTTGATTTTTATTATTTTCGTGGTGGGGATGGTGGTACTTGTAATTTCAAAAGCATGCCCTCCCTTAAGCTCAGTTGAAAGTGAGCCTAGCCAATGAGAGTATTTCCTGAATATACTTGCAAACAAGATGTGAGTCGTGTTCAAAGATGTATTTTTAAAATATAAATATTCCTTTTTATACCTTAGGTGTGTGTTCTGTCCAAATGACTTCCTTTGTAACTGATTCTTAGATCATCTCAGCTTCTCTTTGAGTTACCAGGATGTTGGGAGAAGATGCCAAACTTGCTTGACAACTAGAACTAACATTCCAGAACAGCCCATTCATGCTGAAAGTTTGCTTGCACCTTAAGCACCTACTGTGACCCCAGAAGGAAGCTAGAGTTACTTTTACACTTGCTTCCTCACAGGACCATCTCTGTCATCAAGGCTGCTTCTCTGGGAAGCTTTCATTCATCACTCTCAGGGGCTATAGAAATACCTTCTTTATGATAATATCTGTAAAATCAGGAGAATTTTTTTCACTCACCACTTATCTCTTAAATAAGTTAAGTAAATTTCAAGGCAACAGCTGACATACTTAAACACCTTGCTTATCTTCATTTAGTCTTTCTTTTTTTCTTATTCTTTTACTTTTTCTTGAGATGGGGTCTCATTATGTAATTCAGTCTGGCCTAGAATTTGCAATCCTCCCACTTAAGCTTCCCAAGATCAGAAATTACAAGCCTGTATCACTGTGCCTATCCAAGCTGTTTCAATTATGCATTCCAGTTCAGGTATAATTCTCCTAGCATGCTTCCATATACTAGTTGTGATGGTAAAGTTTCTGTTTCAAATTGACTATTTGGTCCGGGGCCAGACAACATGTTAGTATGAGACTATTTTTCTTAGATGTGATTAAAGTTTAAACCAAGAGTCTTTGAATAGTGCAACTTACCCACCAAAGTGTCCTCATCAAATTCATTAAAAACCACAAGTATTAGCTATGAGGTGCCCGAGGAAAAACATCTGCTTCCAGGCTACCTTCTTTTGGAGTAAAAATTCAACATACACTCTTGCCAGAAGTTCTTGCCTGTTGGCCAGCTCTTCAAATCTAAGCCCCCACATTTACATAAACCAGTTTCTTGAAACCGTGTGTGTGTGTGTGTGTGTGTGTGTGTGTGTGTGTGTGTGTGTGTACAGGTGTGAAGTCTGTATTACAGTCTGTCCCATTGGTTGTTTTCTCTGGAAAATCTTGACAAATGCAATATTGCAGAGTTGTTACAATGTAGCATATAATTGAGTGTGGTAGCACACACTTGTAATCTCAGCACTTAGGTGTGGGTGCAATAGGATCAAGACTGTCCTCAGCAATACACAAAGTTTGAGGTTAACCTGAGCTATATACCACCACTATAATCCTTCCCATTCACCATAGAGATCAATTAATGAAGCTATTTTTCTTTAAAATTCTTCAAGGCCATTTGTATTTATGTTGTTTCCCCAAAATTTTGAAATATTGTTATCTTACTGCTTTATGAGATACAATAGTTAGAATTTTTCCAAATAGTAATAAATACAAGATTTCCTTTAGTTTTACTGATGGGTGTTTCATCTCCCTCCCTTGTCCTATGCTATTTCTAGCTCTGATTTCTTAATATTACCAACTTGTTTGTGTCACCAATACAAATGGGAAAAAGTTATTTTTGAGAAAGATAGATACAAGTCCATTCACATTATATATGCTTTGAAAATTTCCTGCTCCCTAAATATATGATTTGGATATAGTATAAGATAAACTGTATTATTTGAAAAGACTGTAGATGTAAAAAAGAACTTTGACCTCAATAAGTAGTACCAGGTAAGCCCTTGAGATTCTCAACTGTCTTGAATAGTCCATCAAATACATCTGGCTTCATTTTGTTATCCACAGATTCTACCATGAGCTGAGTATCTATATGAGTAATGCTGCACAAAGTCACTTCCTGCCCAGATTTCTAAAGGAAAGATAATTGAACACAATGGGAGCTTCAACTCTCTTATGGACAAAATTACAAGAATTAGTACATAATAGACAGACAGATAGATAGACAGACAGACAGACAGACAGACAGACAGACAGACAGACAGACAGATAGATAGATAGATAGATAGATAGATAGATAGACACATATACATCTACTTATATATATGTATACATATCACAAGAGATTAGTAAAGATTTAGTATCTGCACGTTTCCCAGCCAATTCATGGCCTAAAAGGTGTTCCTAATGGCATAATAATTACCATTGTTATTCAAACAAAGGTTATACCTTCCCATATATTTTAAAAATATTTTTACCCTTTTAACCTCAAATTGTAGTGCCATGTCATGTCACCTGACCCTAACAAAGGGAATTCACTTGATTGAACATATTCTAAATATTTACTCTGCCTCACACATCTTGCAGTGCATTGTAGGATACCAAAGCAGTATGACTGACTCTTGCATCAAGACTCTGTAACTCTGCTGGATAAGGTTGAAGTCCAACGAATCTGGATAACCCAACTGAACTTGGTCTATTACGATGGACTCCCTTTTCTCAAAGGGGTTCTCTCTCCCATCCCACCTCCACCGCAATCTGTGTGACCCCAGGTTTTGTAAGGAGCATAACATAGCCCTCAGCAGATTACAGGCCAAACCCTTTCCTGATAAGAAAACTGGTTCAACAAGTATCTGGGATTCCTAGAAATGCTCCACCCTGATAAGGAGATCTTAGTTTTCAGCAGTGACCTTCAATTGTACTGGAGATTCTCCCACCCATAGGATAATTAAGTACTGTGTTCTTGTGATAGGTCAGTGCTACTACATGAAAAATGCACTGTACCACTAGATGTAAATCAAGTGTCCTTGACTCCAGTGAATCAACAGAATTCACCCTTGAAATCTTTCCCACTGGCCAAGGTTTATAATTCCCTGATTTCAAGTAAATGTTCTGGCTGGTTGTGTGCTCTGTGATACCATCAGCTTTCCACTGTGGCCACCTGAGATTCTTCATTTAGCTGCTTCTCACTGGGACTGTCTTCTGGGCCTCTGAGCCTGGGCCTTGCCAGAACTGTGTACTGGCTGCAAGGGGCTTTCACCCATACCTCTGTCATGCTCAGCTCAGCAGTTTAACCAAGAGCTATAAAACTTTGGTATTGACATAGGTTTTGGAATACATGAGAAAAATTTCCACTGCCACCAGTGAACTCATTCTAAAAGAACTAAACTATAACACTCCATGGAAAAACGCTTTCCACACCCTGGCTTAGCCTCACCATAGAGTGCTCTAGCAGCTCCTAAGAGAAACGGAACCCCAATCCTGGGGTCAGCCCATTCTCTGTCTGGAAGCTGAGTTCCAGGCCCTTGCTGAATGGAGAAGGAGAAAGATGATAAAGAGGAGCCATGCCTGGTGAAGCAGGGAAGTTAAGAAGGAGGGTCATGAGTTCAAGGCTTTTCCTGGGCTACACAGCAAGTTAAAAACCAGCCTGGACAACCTAATGTGACCCTGACTCAAAACAAAAAGTAAAAAAGAAGGCTGTGGATATTGCTCCGTAATCGGATACTTAGTGTATGCAAAAGCCCTTGGTTCAAACCCACCAGTACCAAGAGGAAAATAAGAGGAGGAGGAAAAGGAAGTGGAAGAGGAAGGGAGGATGTGATGATGATAACGAAAGGAGTTCTTTTAACACATCAGCATTAAAGTGCTTCACCACAAGCCATATAAATGCTATGTAAAAAGTAGTGTTTTCCATGAATGGTGCAGACACAGTAGTAATAATTTATTGTGACTGAAATCTCAGTTTTCTGCACCTCAACCAATAGAATGCAAGTCCTATGAGAAGGAAATGATCCTTATGTGTCCTGTTCACTGCATATCTGGTATTTCTGATGCACTGTAGTTTTTCAGAAAATATTTAGTAAATAAGCACTTGCATATCATTATTTAATGATTTCTAAAAAGAAATACAGGTTATAAATAGATGATGCATAGATAGGGGAGGTGTGGTAGCAGGAGCATGAGATAGCTAGGCACAATGCAACTACAGTCAGGAAGCAGGGAGAAACAAATGCTGGTACTCTGCTGGCCTCCACCTTTCCCCCTTTTTGTTTATTCTGGGACCCTAGAATAAATAAATATACCATTGGATGGTGCCACTCATATTCACACTTAGCTCAGAAATTTTCAGGGGATTTCGCTGACCAGTGCCCATCAAAGGTAAGTAGATAATGCTGAGTGGCCTTACCATCTCCTAAATCTCAAGATCTATAATGTCATTGCAGTCTAGTTGAACAGTACGGTTTGAAAATCTTAGCTTGCCTACGTATTATTTTTATCTGTAAGGAACATCTCGAAGGCACACTGGAGCAACTGCTTATTGCAGCAGCAGATGGAATGAAAAGAAATTGATTATACGCAGGTATGAGCCTCCAGGCTGTACAGCCTTATGTAGATACTATCAGATCTTGGGAGGAAAATGGCATGCATGATACATTAAAGAACATTCTGCCCAGCTGTGCTCATTCTGGGTATATTTTAGCATTACAATGCCCTAAAATTAATAGTCCTCTTTAGCACTAGGATTCTGAAAATTTAACTCATTAGAATTCATCAATAAATGGTGCTTTAAAAGGTTTTCAAAGCAATAGATGCATAGGCATTATGCCATTTGATCATCACAGCACTCTGTGAGACAGCAGGGGTAGGTAACTCCCTTACTGTTAAGGCAGCTGAGGAAAACGGGTCTCTAAGGACCAGAGAGTTTAACACGGGTTGCACTGCTAAGTAGATTATGGAGGTAGGATGAGAATTCAGGGTTCCCAAACCCTCCCAGTTCTCTAGCCCACCTCATTCCCCCAGCCTCTGCCTTGTATGGCTAAAGAAAAAAATACAAAATAGGGGATAATAAGGGTGTTTTTGGTATCATGGAGCCCCCCGCCCATAAGGATAATCATAAAGGCATGATATAAAATACAATATATTAAAAGAAAAACCACTTACATTCAAGAAACAGTTATCAAAATTGTAAAGTGTTGAATTCATTTCATCACACATATTAATATTTATCAGTTACTGAGAAAAAAAAAACATTCCATACCAAACTGTATACAAATGTTTGTTGGATAAAATAACCTTCTAAACAATAAGATTCATAATTGAACATAATGCTGTCTGTGAGCACAA